CGTTCCTCCCTTCCTTCCTCCCTTCCTCCTTCCCTTCCTCCCTCCCTTCCCATCCTTCCTCCCTTCCTTCCTTCCTCCCTTCCTCCTTCCCTTCCTCCCTTCCTTCCTTCCTTCTTTCTTCCTTCCTTCCTTCCTTCCATCCTTCCTTCCATCCTGTCTTCTTGCATTGTTCCTGTGATCTCTGCTGCTTCCAGCTGACGCGTCAGCAGTCCTGCCCACACTATGTGAACCCTGTTCCAGGTGCTGTGGGGGAGCCGTGTGCACACGAGAGGGCCACCCTAAGCAGATGACACTGCCTCGGTGGGAAACCACGGAGTCTGGGGGCTCGTGCGGGGGTCCTGCCAGCTGTTCTTACCTGTTAGCTTGGTGCCCTCGTTTTGCAGTTGAAGAAACAGACTGGGGGAGGGTCAAGGTGATTCACTATTGGGACGGAGCAGAAATTCAAACCCACGTTGGGTTGATCCTGGATCCTGAACTCTCTCCTCCACCTGCGTCCGGCTCAGGGCAGTGTGGACTCAGGGCAGGTTCCTGTCTCTTACACGAGGCACGTGACTCTCAGCCCTGCCGTGCACCCCTTAAGTCTGGGCCTCAGCTTCCCCTTGTGAACAGCCAGGGCCCCGCACCCCACCCTGGCTGGGGCATCCCACGTCACTGACCAGTTGTCTCCTTCCCTACTCAGAGGTGGCTGACGGCCTCTGCTGTGTGCTGACCACACCCTGCCTCACTCAGAGCACAATGGCTGCCCCGGCCGTGGGGGCCGCTGACTCCCCCGTCACCTTGCGCCAGAAGACCTTCGACTGGAGGAGGGCAGCCAGGTGTGTGTGTGTGTGTGTGTCCCATCCATGAATGCATACGCTCAAAACCAGCATTTGAGCCTAGCACCTCAGAACCGTGGCTAGTTACAGCTGGCCCCGCTGAGCCTGCACTCTGAGCAGGTGCAGACCCCGAGGAGCCCCGCTGGCCCCTGGGAGGCAGACCCTGTCACAGGCCTCCTGCCCTGTGTGGCACGGCAGAGCCACTCCCTGCCAAGGCCTCCGCCTCCCAGTTCTGCAAATGTTCATTGAGCCCTGTCATTCAGTGGCAGAAGACTATTTTCCAGCTGAAAGATACCACCTTGCTGTTTCTAATTGCTAGTATCCTAGAGCGTAACACACAAATGAATCTTGGATAAATCTAATATTATTATAAACTCATTCACGAAGCTTAAACACACCAGCAAAATCTCAAGGGACTTCATATTTTTTTAAGGGGAAAAAAATCTTTCCTTATTTGTTCTGTTTATCTGATTGTCAGCTATTGCATTTTAAGGGGTATCTGTAGTTGGGGATTGGTGGGTTATCGTATTAATTAAACACTGATCCAGACATCCCATTGGTGCATTCAAAGAAAGTCAGCAATCAGAACTGCCTGGGAAATGAATAAAAGAGCTCTTCCTTATAAATATCATAAAGAAATCTTCATTAACATTTATAGTTGGAGGTTTCAGCCATCCAAAGAAATAGTGGTTCAGAGAGGTGAAGTGATTTCTCCAAGATCACACAGCCAAATGCAAGAAGCAGAATTAGAATAATAAGTCAGATAAATATTAACCGGGCTTTTTGTTTGTTTTTCTTCCTTTTTCCTCTTGCCCTCCATCTCTCTATGTTCCTCTCCTCTTCCCCTTTCTCTGTCCACTTTCTTCCCACTCGCAGACTGCAGGAGGACCCTGAGGGCGCAGGGAACCCACTGGGGGTGGATGAATCCCTTTTCAGCTACGGCCTTCGGGAAAGCATCGCCTCCTACCTGTCCCTGACCGGTGATGACAGCACTCACTTCGATCGAAAGAAGAAAAGCGTCTCCCTGATGTACAGCGGGAGCAAAAGGAAGAGCTCTTTCTTCTCGTCACCTCCGTACTTTGAAGACTAGCTCGAGAACAGATAACCTGGTGTTTGCCCAAAAGAGCAGAGGTTCAGACTGTCCCCTGGGATCGTGCAGAGAGGCACGGTTCCCTGGTCCCTGGGGAACCCCAAGTCTTCCAGGAACCAAGAGAAGCCACGCGGAGATGAACTCACGTCTTCTCTGTCCACATCACGACAAAGGGCACCCCTCCCTGATGTCTGATGAGGCACATCACAAAATGTTGACTCTGGGATCACGGGGCGAGGCTTGGGAATGGCCCTGCGCGCACGTGTGTGCGTGCGTGTTTGTGGGAAAGACGAAGATGCTGGCTCACAAAGGTGCGCAAGGACCCCTCGCCAGCACGCCGCCGCCCAGCGGGCACACCCTGAGGGCACTGAGAGAGCTTCCCAGAGAGAAAAGCCTGAGAAGAGGGTGAGCCAACTGCTGTGGCCTGGCTGGAGGTCTGGGTTTGCAGGCTGATGCCCTGCGTTCAGCGTTGTAACCAGTCCGTCACGAGACCGCCCGGATGCCGCTCCTCTTTTCAAGGGAACTCAGTGACACTAAACGCTAACCTTCCTTACGAGCCCCACGTCAGGAGTTCCCTTTAGGCTTCTCATTCCAAAGCCACCTGTGCAGAAGTCAGACGGCCTCCCTACTTCTGCCGAGGTCCCACGGGGGAGGGGGTGCCTGGAGGGGGGAAGGCATGAGGGTGGGCCTGGAACTTTGCCTCACTGCACAGAAAGAGCTTCTCTGGTGAGCTGAGATTTCTTGCCTATATTAATGCATCAATTCATGGTTGCCACAAAAGGTATTGTTTTAAGTCCCAGGTAAGGTGTCAGGTCAAATATATATACATATATATATATATATATATATATATGTGTGTGTGTATATATATATATATATATATATATATATATATATATATATATATATATATATATATTTACAGGCCCCAGCAGTGTAGACAGGGGAGAAAAGTGTATAAACAAATATTGTGATGGGCAGTGTAAAGGAGAAATCAGCTCACAGCTTTGGATGGGACTGGAGTCGGGTAAGGTGACCCAGAAGCTCCTATTTCAGCAGAATCTTCAGCGAGTGGAAGGGCTGGCTGGATTGAGCAAGGGAGAATGGTTGGATTGTTTTTTGTTTTTGTTTTTAAAAAGGAAATTGATAAGTTCTAGAGCAATAATTCATCCAGGATTTTATTCTAAGAAGAGTCTGGCATCCACATGCGTAAAAATGCTAAGCTCCAGAAAAGCTGGGAATCAGAGTGGTTGAATTCTGCCAAACATAATTTTCAGAGATGAGAGAGAAAACATAGTGAAGTTCTAGAGAAGGAGAAGCATTTATCTCCGGACGCTATTAAGAAGGGGCTGCAGGCATCCATGACCCTTTCCCTGATGCAAAGAGACTCAGAGGAGGAGGGAGCTGCCGACAGAAGTCTGTCTGTTCAGCACATGCATTCCGTCCGTCTGAGATCACTGCCCTGGTGGTTTGTGTATGTGCAGTTACATGATTTTCTGTATCATCAGATTCCAGTGTGTTTACACAGGAAGACGTTTGTGGTTTTCTCAACAATCCCCAAAGGCTCTTTCAAAAACAGCCAGTCAATGTATGGGAAACGAACGTAACACCGTGGACGCCGGCTTCCACCATAAGGCAGGGGACCTCGCCGCCTCCAGATGTCTGTGCAGTGTCTTATGTGTTGTTCTCCATTGTGGCTGATGTGGTGGGAACGTTATGCAGTTACTTAGAGGGATTTCTAAGTGGGAAGCATTACACTTTGCTAAATCATGTATTTATTCCTGATTAAAATAAACCTAATAAATATTTAATTCTTGGAACGTGGGGAGAGCTTCCTGGGTGAGGTGGGTGGGTGGTTCATTCAGAAGCCCTGTGGGTTTTGAATTTTCAAATGAACTTGCAATTGGAGAGAGAGGTGAACAGGGACCACCAAGAGGAGCCCACAGTGCGTAGCAGCTCGGCTTCTCCTTGAGACGCAGCCATAAGAAAATAGGGTTTTATGACTTCCAGGGGTCTCTCCCCCACCTTGAACGTGGACATCCGGGATCAAGGGAGAGAAGCACTTCTTAGCAGTTGTTTTGAAAACTCTGTTTTCTGCACTTTGCTTGTGATCCCTCTGCTACTAGTGCTTCCAACACTTCCTGTCTACAAATAGGTTTTGGACACCAGACACTGCTCAAGGTGCTGGGGCCACAGCAGCGAAAAGCAGACGAGGTCCCTGCCTGGGGAGTGTACCCCTCCCTCCCTAAGTCTGCAGCGGGGGGCCCTGCTCCCCTTCCATCCTCTCCCTGCTGTCTGGAGTTCCCGGCAGCCCAGACTCAGCCCTGAGGATGAGAGCAAGGCCCTGAGATGACAGAGAAACACCTAGAAGGAACCCGGGCCCTGAGCAATCAGGAGATGCCCGGGCTCTTCACCTGGGGAAACGTTATGAGAAAGAGGAAAAAAGAAACGCATTTGTCATCCAAGCTGCTTTCTTGATGGACCTCCTTCTTAGAGCAGCTGAGCTTTTGCTCCAAATAAACCTGCCATTATTGGCAAATAATGGGGTAACTTCACAGCAAATCCAATGGAACCAACAGACAAAGCCTGAGAGGCGGTAAGAAAGCTCAGCAAATGTGGAGCCAGCTTATTTCCCTCTATCAGTATTCACCAACTGGAGAGCGAAACAGAAAATAGGACACCATTTACCACGTCAACCAAACCATAACATGAGTAGGTTTTGCCTCACAACAGCTTTGCAAAACTTTTATGGATCAAAGTTCAAAACTCTGCAAAATGTGGTCTATTTTTATACAAAATAGGTCAACAACAAGGTCCTACTGTGCAGCACAGGGAACTATATTCAATAGCTTGTAATAACCTACAATGAAAAAGAATATATATACATACATACATGTATAACTGAATCACTACGCCGTACACCAGAAACCAACACAACATCATAAAGCCACTGTACTTCACTTTAAAAAACTCTATGAAAAGATGTAGGGAGACAAAAATACTATGTTCCTGGTTATGAGGTTAACCTGATTCATGAATTTAAGATTTAACATCATGAAAACATAGATATTTTTTCTGAAGTTTTTAGAAAACTTCCATGAAACTACGATCAAATTCCCACCAGGACTATTTTTTTAAAAATCAGTAAACTAAAAAAAAAAAAAAAAATCAGTAAATTTATTCTAAAATGCATCTGGAAGCATCAAAGTCCATGAAGAGCTAGACCTGTTTTAATTAAGAGGAGTACAGGGGACCGTGCTCACACTAGGAGGTACGTGCAGAAACAGGAAAAACGGTGCTCCGGGCCCAAGCCGCCACCTGCCTCCTGCTGGTTGAAAGGACTCAGCACGGTCTCAGGTGCCCTCTTTGAGCCAGGTGCCGTGCTCAGGGTTAAAGCAGTACTAGGGGATAAATCACGGACCAGTCAAGCCCCCAGTCACAGGAGACATGGAATAAGATACATCAGAAAATATAACAAGCCTGTAAAACAAGTCAGAATTCCTGAAAGTTGCTAGGTGGAAATCTCTTCACCAGGGCAAGACTCTTCTTGTTTTAAGAGATGGAGAAAGGCTTAGAGGCCCCATTCAGCTGACCCCAGAAGGATGGAGTGTTTTTCCGGGCAGAAAACAGGATGTGCTGCCCACAGAACAGCATGGAAAGATCGAGGGGGAGGCAAGGCATTTTCTAGGAATGGTGGCACAGCTGGTGAGCCCGGACTGCAGGGTTCACGTGGGAGAAGAGCAGGAAAGGAGACAGGAAAATCCAGCCTGAGGCCAACTCATGAGGGCCGGAGTTCACTCTGAGGAACGCAGAATTGGGGCAATGTTGAACAAAAGCAATGGAAACTTCTTCTGGGTCCTGTGAATCACACCACAGAGGACGTGACCTCCTCTCTCTTCTCCTAAAACTGGCCGAGGGGTCAGTGACATAGAATTCAGGTTTGCAGCATGTCCCCCCTTTCCTTCTGCAACCTGGACCCAGGGCAGGTGAATTACCCCAGACCAGATTTCGTTTGGCGTTGACTTTGGCACGGGACATGGGGGAACTTGAGTTTCTAGAGTTCCCATAGTGTGCAGGATACTTTACAACCTTTACATCATGATGTCTTGAGCCCTTGGGACGTAGAATTAATCATGCCTATTTTATCCATGAAGAAGGCAAGGGTGAAGGGTCTCACCCAAGGCCAAGACCTTAACGGAGGCTTGTCTGATCCTAGGTCTGGGCTCTTTCTCTGACACATTGAGACTCTGAATGAGTCCTGGGTTCCTGGAGAAGCAGCCTGAGTGGAAGAACACAGTATTTGGCTTCAGTTTCTAGCCCCTAATGCAGCTCCTTCTTTGCTGTGTGTTCCTTAGCAGGTCACTAAACATCTCTGAGCCTTGGCTCTCTTATCTCTAGATTGGAAATAAAATAAATACCCCTTGCAAATCAACGTGAGGAGTCTATGAGATGTATTGAAAGTGCTTTCTGGCCCCAAACACGCTAAACAAATAAATATAAGTGATTAATGATCACAGGAGTCCATCTTGTCTGATATTTCAACAGTTCTGGTCCCAAGATTTTCAGAAAGACTTAAGATTTTATCCAAGAATATATCACCAACTCACATTCACTCCCCCAAACATCTGTTGGTAGAGAGCACGTCTAAGAACTGCTAATATATTGAAGTATTTTCGTTCTCTCAATTCCAAATAATTTCACATGCATCCCAAAGTCTGGTGGGAGCAGTTGTAAAAACTGTCTCTCAATGACTAAAGCAGACGGAAGATTTATTTTTAAATACACTACCATTTGTTAAAACAGATTAGTTTTTTAAATTCCCCAAACATCTAAACCCTCCAGAAATTTCAAAAGGAAAATTCTGCCTTCTGGCAGAATACTGGAAGGCACTTCTGGTGTCTTCTGGGTCCCCCTGCATGTCTGGTTTCTGGGTGGGTCCTGGGGAAATTCCTTCAGGATCAACTCGAAGTTGTGAAGATCTGTCTTCAACACCAGGAACTGAAAGGTGTTTGTGCTCAGACTTCCTGTCACTAAGATGGACCACCACAAAGGAACAGATTTAAGGAAACCTGAAGCCAAGGACAAGAGACACAAGGAAGAGGTGGGAGGGAGGGAGGGGGACCAGCCTGTAGGTCCCTGGACACACTCCCGCCTTCCCGAGCTCCTTCACTGCCAGGAGGTTAATCACGGAGCATCGACCGGAAGACAGCAGTGTTGGGTGCCCCAGGCTCTGTGGAGAGCGAGGCACAGCTGGCCCTGCTGGCCCGGAGTTTACAGTCTTGTGAGAGGGACATGCGTGGCAATAGGAGCGATCACGTGCTGGTGGAAAGCGTGGGAAATGCCGTACAAGGCTTACAGATGGCATCAGCCTTACAAAGGGGAGCTGCTTCTAGGCTGAGAAGTCTGGAAGGAGTTCCCGAGAGATCAGTAGGGCCAGCAAAGAGGAAGATGGGAGGAAAGTGTGCCAGGCAGAGGAAACTGCCTGTAAGAGGCAGACCAGAGCAGGGACTGTTTGAGGAAAGTTAGAAGGACCTGTGGCTGAAGGAAGGACATGAAGTGACAGGAGACACTGCTTCCTGCAGGGGTGATGGTGACGCTGTTCTAGCATCAGTTGCACCCAAACAATGACACTTCTTCCACCCTCCTTAAGATCCAGGGTTCAGATTCCCCGCAATGCTGGACAGAGCTGGGAGTAGTTTGATGGCCTTGGATTTGCTAGCAGGCTCATGGCACTGGCCTCCATCTTTCCTCAGTTTGGGTCACTCAACAGTCTCCTCATGGCTTTCTCTTTCTTCAGCACTGCCCCTCTTAAATTCATCCTCCCCCAAGCTCTAAAAGAAGTCTTCCTAAAGGGTGGCCTAAGCAAGTTGTCCCCCTGCTTCAGACCCTTTGGTGGCACACTGTTGTCCACAGCAGCACAGTTTACAGGAGCCAAAAGGTGGAGGCAACCCAAACATCAATCATCAGATGAATGGATAAACAAAGTGTGCTCTAGACATACAACGGAATATTATTCAGCCTTAGAAAGGAATGATATTCTGATACACGCTGCAGCGTGGGTGAACCTTGAGGACATGATGCCAAGTGAAATAAGCCAGCTACAAAAGCACATTTCTGGTAGGATTCTACTAAAGAAGGTACCTAAGACTGGTCAAGTTCATAGAGACGGAGAGTAGAACAGAGGTTGCCAAGGGCTGGAAGGAAAGGAGAATGGGAGTTCTTGTTTAATAGGTACAGACTTTCTGTTTGGGATGATGAAAAAGTGCTGAAAATGATTAATGGTGATGATTGGACAACACTGTGAGTATCCTTACTGCCACTGAGCTGTACACTTAAAAATGGTTAAGACGGGAAACCAAACCAAATCAGCAAACAAACAAAACCCTCCAATGGCTCCCATGCCCTCAGGGTAAAACCCAAGGTGTTCAGTGCAGTCTGGCTGATCTCTGCCTCCCAGGCCCATGCCACATGACAGGCAGGTCCCAGCGAAGAGCCAAGCTCTCCCTTGGTGCCAGGACATGTGCGTATGTCCCTCGGCATCAGCTCAAACATCCCCCTCCCCAGGAAGCAATCCCGGACACCCCCTCTTTCCCTGACGCTTGCTTGGGGCCTTTTCTCTGAGCTGCTCTGACCCTCTTTTGAATATCTGCTTTAAGTGTTTGTCCCCTCTCCCCTCAGAAAACAGTAAGCTTTCTGAGAACTAAGACATGTTTAATTATTTAGAACGGCATTTCCAGCACCGAACATAGTACCTGGCACCAGATGGACATTCAATAAAATGAAAAGCTAATCAGTGACAGAACAGACATCAGGGCCTTTGCTGTGGTCAACCAGGTTATTTCTTCTGTCGTAAGTATTCCATCATCATCATCAACATTATCATATCATCTCCATCACCACCTCCATCATCATCACCATCACCATCACCACCACCTCCTCCATCATCATCATGACCTTCATCACCACCATCATCATCATCACCTAGTAGGTACTTCAGAACATCTAGGAGAATCCGGAGTGCTGAGTTCTATTCTTTGCCTTCATTCAGCAGTCAACAGACCTTTGCTGTTCTGTGCCTCAACCCATAACTGCGACCCAGCTGCCTGCCACTCCTTGAACAGCCTGTATAGCCACGTGGACCAGCCCTGCCTCCCCTCACACCTCAGGCAAGGGAGACAACAAGGAGATGGAAGGGACTGGTGAGGGTAATGGCTCCCCCAATATTCAGTTCACAAGAACTGAATCTCAGGCAGGGACGCAGCACGGGCTGTTGAGGAAACCAGACAGCTTAAGGGAAGATTCCAAGTGTAAACCTGGAGAAGATCAGGGAAGCAACACTGGGAAATGGATGAGCATTCTCTGGGTTCTATTCCTCTTCTGTGTTGGGTGTAGTTCAGCATCATATTGGTTAAATAGACCGTTATCATTAAAATTCTAGAACGCTTTCCATCCTACATTCCCTGATGTTTGTGTATTGACAAGGGAGCTAATCGCGGCTTCAGACCATTAAACCTTAATGAGGCACTCTCAGGAAATAGAAACACTTCCCTGTTTAGAATGATCAGCATTTCAGATATGAGTGGACAGCAGTCTGCTGAGCCCTGCAGCATCCTGGCTCACGTGTACGTGGAAAGATGGCAACAAGCAGGACACGGATTCAGAACAAAGGATAAAGGAAATCCAAGCAATTGAAGCCAACGGGGGCAAGAGAGGACCACCTTCAGCAAGCCTGAAGGCACGACAGCTGACTCACCATCAGCACCGCTCTCCGGAAGAGTCTGGAGTTGGTGGTCCCTGGTAGTTAGAAGGTGGATGCTGGCCACTTCGGCTCCGCCACGGTCTGCTGCCAGGGTCACTCGCCGAGGGTCCCCACCAAACACTCTGATGTGGGTCTGCACCCAGGTCAGAGCCGCCACCTGGTCCAGCAGCCCCCAGTTGCCACTCACCTCGCCGGACCCTTCAGAAAGAGGAAAGCACTCAGTTGAGTTGATCCCTCTTTTTTTTCCATGGAATTCAGTAAATACTTATTGACACACGCACACACACAAATAGAAGCATCTCTTCTCCTTGGCATTTGGGATACCCATGTCTATGCCCTTCTGCCATCCTCTGTGGATCCTCCTTGTCTACACCACTAACTACCCCAAAACCCCAAGCCTGTTCTGGTTGGAGCTGAGGCTCACCCCTGTCTTCTCTGGCTTCCCTCCAGGGAACCTCAGCAGACCCCATGGCTTCACCTGCGTGAGGATGACCCTCGGGAGTATGTCGGCAGCCCGCAGCGCTCTCCCACGCCCAGGGCCCTCACATTCCTCCAGGAGGCTGTCTCACAGTCACCTCAAGTCCATCCAGTCCCAGAGGGAATGGATTCTCAGTCTCCTGAGCACCCCAGCCAGCAGCATTTCCAGAGGTTCTCACCTTCTCCGCCAAATGCAGCACCGTCCACCCACTCTGCTCTTGCATAACCTCATTCTGCCACATCCCTGCATCCCCGCTTCCCCCGCAGGTGCTGCGGGCTCTGCTTCCACTGATCTCCACCCCATCTCTTCTCAACACTTCTCATCAGCTTTCTGTATCTGCACGTTCCTCCCTCCAGTGAAGTCTCCACAACACATCCAGAGTGGTCTTCTAAACTTATCATTTTGATTCTCTCTCTTTCTGACATACAAATATCCCCTGCAATACACCAACACATGCACACACACAGACACACACACACAGACACACACACACATCCTGTCCCATCCTATGTAAAATCTCCCATCTCATCCCACTGTCCTTAGAGCATAATCTCAGTTCTTCTAATGCACTGAAACCCACGGGACTGGGTCATCCATCTCTTGGGCCGCATCTACTTTGTCCCCTCCCTGTGCCTGAGCTGCAGCCGCCCAGGCTTCCATCAGATGCTCAGACACACCAGCCCATCCTCCCTGAGGCCTGTGCTTGGCACCTGTCATTTCTTCCACCCAGAGCCCTCCCTCTCCCCTTGGCTTTCCTCCCTCCCTCCTCTGGCCCAGTCACCCACAAGCCTTAAAGCTACACCATCAGTTCATAGGCAGCACTCAGGGAAAGGGAGGGTCCCCTTTCAGAGTATTTGTCACTGCTGTCTTCCCTGCTAGACTGTGCTCCTCACGAAAACCAATGACACACAGTAAGGCCCAGCTAAATGTTAGATGAATGAGTGACTATGCTTATGATGAACACAATCCAGTGTCAGATGAGAAGATATCAACAAGAACCCATATTCCCCAACAGAAAAACAGAAAGACCTCGTAACCCAGTGCCCAGCCTGGTGTTCACAAAGCCGACGAGAAGTCCAGCGCAGGGGACACAATGGTACAAATCACTCCTCCAGATGGGGAGACGCTCAGAATTTCTTCAAGCGCATTTTCATGTTCTGGGTTTAGTGAAGCCATTGGCACTGTCCCCTCTGGGTTTAGTGAAGTTACTGGCACCGTCCCCTCTGCGGACTTTTCTGGACTGCCTGCACATTCCATCTGTCTCCAAGGTCTCAGGGAGGGCAGGAAGGCAGGACACCAGCTGAACGGGACCCAGTCCTGCAAATCTGGGAAGTGATGCCCGCAGCCTGCGTTTCCAGACAATGGAGGTGGGGACCGTCCCTGACTCTCACGTCCAATGTCCCAGCTCTGCACTTGCCATGCTGACTTTCTGGGATCTACAGACCCCTGGGAGGTCAGAGTTGAGGGTGTATTCAGGAGGCAAGTCTGACGTGGGCTTCACCTCATACCAGGCACTGTACTGGGTACTTTAAAGAGCAAGACAGACAAGACCCTGGCCCTGTGGGCAGACAGCCTCAGGGATGCGCATACAGAACCGCCAACTTGCTGGTCTGAGATAGCGAGTCCCACCCTTTCCTTCGCTGGTGGGGAACCTGAGACTTGAAAGAGTTACTTTTGGTGCAAGAAGCAAATCTGAGGTAGAGCCGGCACTTAAATCTCACCGCACGCTCAGAACTCTTTGTCCTAACATTCAGTCCAATTCAACAAACATTTGTCAAAAAAATCTATGATGTGCAAGGCACTGTTATTTTCATTAAAAAATTTTTAAGTACTCTATGGAACTCTCTCTGCTTGGAAGCCTCCATAACTCCCTCATTCCTACTACATTCACTCTAACTCCTTCTTGGCTTTTCCACTCCTGTGAGATCGACCCACCAGCCCCTCTGAGCAGCCTTGGTGAGCTCCCTTCACCTCCCAGCACCGGCATCATCCAGCCATCAGGGCCTGCTCTTCATCTGTGTTCACTGCCTTGCAGTCTGGCCATGGCTGAGCCCCATTCTCCTGCCCCACCTGGCTCAGCCCCTCCGCAAACACACCACGTGCAGTGCTGCTGGGGTGTGAAACTGGAGCGCGCTGCTCTCTGCTGGCCCGGCGCACACGGTCCAGGAGGGAGACGGTTATGAGTGGAAGATTTCTGGACGGTGTGAGAACGCTTCTCTCCACCTGCCTCACCCGACCCTGGTCTACCCCTATCCCTCCTCCGATCTCCCGCCCCCGATCAGAACTCCCCAGCAAACATTCGGTTATTCATTCCCTCACTGTCTAACTAGCTCTTGCTTACTCATTTGATTTCTTCAACTAGCCCTCTAAAGCTCCTTAGCTCGATTCTGGGCTCCCAGCGGGTTCTCACCCAGGTCTTGTTGATGTCCATCGATAAGAGGTGTCACGGTGTGTGGGCTTAGCACACGGTTATGAAGCCAGACCAGCAGGAGTGGAGTCCCCTCCACCACCTACTAGTCGTGTGGGGCCCTGGACAAGTCACTTCACGGGACTTGACTTTCCTCATTTGTTACCTACCTCATTAGGTTGTTGCAATGATTGAATTAGTTAATATTTGTACAAGGAACAGAACAGTGCAGTGCCTGGCATAAAGCATGATAGAAGTTGCTTGGCTTTTCTTAAATAAAATAAAGCAGGCTTCAGTCCCAGCAGCCCCTCCCAGATGCCCTTCGCGGGACTGCCTGTCTTCAGTAGAACTTGTGCCTGTGATGGGTCTCCTGCTGGGCAGGACTCTGCCCATTCTTACAGATCAGAAAGGGTAGCCGACCCTCTCAGGAGGGAGGACTCCTAGAGCCCCAGGGACCATGCAGTAATGGGGATGTTACCGTGCCCGGCCTTCTGTCTGGCGTCTGGACTGAAGCTCACGTTCTCTCTCCTGTGCCCGGCAGTGGGCCTGCAGGCCATGGCCCACCCACTCCTCTGAGCCCACCTACCACTGACAGAAGGATAATCACTGTGCCCCGTGCCCCCAGGGTCCATCCTGCCTGCAGGGTCCAGGCTGGAAAAACAGCCCCCCACGGCCCGCCACCAGCCCCCTCTCCTTCCCCACTGCCCTGCATCAGGACCTGCACTCCTCTAAGCACCGCTGGGCTGGGGCTCCTCTCGCAGAGAACTTGCCCAGCGGCCGCAGGACTGGCGCGCGCTTCTGTTGTCATCTCTCCCCGCTCCTCCCTCAGTGTGCCTCTGGAGGCTGGTGCTTTCGGGGGGTTATTTTCACCCTGGGCTACAACAGCAGATGCTGCCCACATTTATCACACGAGATTCTGTACCCGAAGCGGCGGCGCCTCAGCCTGACTCAGTAAACGCCAGGGGCTGCTGCTGTGGGCCAGATGCAGGCCAAGACCTGGCCCGGGAAAGGAAAGGGGCGTTAACCCCTGGGAGCCCCTGCCGGGTGCCACCAAGGTTCTAGGTGTTTGCCTTCACCTGCCTGATCTCAGGAGAGACTGGCAGCCTGGGATGGGGTGCGGAGGGAGGGAGCCGCCCAGAGCCTCTGCGCCCCACAGAGCGAGGCGCTGCCCCCAGACCTGGTCTTTCTCGGGTGCAAAGCCTGTGCACCGTGCAGGACAGCAGCCCGTGGCT